CAGAGGGAGGATAATATACACTATTGTGAGTAACAGTGGTTCCTATAACTCTCAGTATGTTTACACAGAGGAGGATAATATACACTATTGTGAGTAACAGTGGTTCCTATAACTCTCAGTATGTTTATACAGAGGAGGATAATATACACCATTGTGAGTAACAGTGGTTCCTATAACTCTCAGTATGTTTATACAGAGGGAGGATAATATACACTATTGTGAGTAACAGTGGTTCCTATAACTCTCAGTATGTTTACACAGAGGAAACATAGAAACATAGAAGGTGACGGCAGATAAGAACCATTCGGCCCATCTAGTCTGCCCAATTTTCTAAATACTTTCATTAGTCCCTAGTCTTATCTTATAGTTAGGATAGCCTTATGCCTATCCCACGCATGCTTAAACTCCTTTACTGTGTTAACCTCTACCACTTCAGCTGGAAGGCTATTCCATGCATCCACTACCCTCTCAGTAAGTAATACTTCCTGATATTATTTTTAAACCTTTGTCCCTCTAATTTAAGACTATGTCCTCTTGTTGTGGTAGTTTTTCTACTTTTAAATATAGTCTCCTCCTTTACTGTGTTGATTCCCTTTATATATTTAAATGTTTCTATCATATCCCCCCTGTCTCGTCTTTCCTCCAAGCTATACATGTTAAGATCCTTTAACCTTTCCTGGTAAGTTTTATCCCGCAATCCATGAACCAGTTTAGTAGCCCTTCTCTGAACCCTCTCTAAGGTATCAATATCCTTCTGAAGATACGGTCTCAGTACTGTGTACAATACTCCAAGTGAGGTCTCACCAGTGTTCTGTACAATGGCATGAGCACTTCCCTCTTTCTACTGCTAATACCTCTCCCTATACAACCAAGCATTCTGCTAGCATTTCCTGCTGCTCTATTGCATTGTCTGCCTACCTTTAAGTCATCAGAAATAATCACCCCTAAATCCCTTTCCTCATATGTTGAGGTTAGGACTATCAAATATTCTGTACTCTGCCCTTGGGTTTTTACATCCAAGATGCATTATCTTGCACTTATCCACATTAAATGTCAGTTGCCACAATTCTGACCATTTTTCTAGTTTACCTAAATCATTTGTCATTTGGCTTATCACTCCTGGAACATCAACCCTGTTACATATCTTAGTATCATCAGCAAAAAGACATACCCTACCATCAAGACCTTCTGCAATATCACTAATAAAAATATTAAAGAGAATGGGTCCAAGTACAGATCCCTGAGGTACCCCACTGGTGACAAGTCCAAGCTTATATATACACACTATTGTGAGTAACAGTGGTTCCTATAACTCTCTCAGTATGTTTACACAGAGGGAGGATAATATACACTATTGTGAGTAACAGTGGTTCCTATAACTCTCAGTATGTTTATACAGAGGAGGATAATATACACTATTGTGAGTAACAGTGGTTCCTATAACTCTCAGTGTGTTTACACAGAGGAGGATAATATACACTATTGTGAGTAACAGTGGTTCCTATAACTCTCAGTATGTTTATACAGAGGGAGGATAATATACACTATTGTTAGTAACAGTGGGTCCTATAACTCTCAGTATGTTTATACAGAGGGAGGATAATATACACTATTGTTAGTAACAGTGGGTCCTATAACTCTCAGTATGTTTATACAGAGGGAGGATAATATACACTATTGTTAGTAACAGTGGGTCCTATAACTCAGTATGTTTATACAGAGGGAGGATAATATACACTATTGTTAGTAACAGTGGGTCCTATAACTCAGTATGTTTATACAGAGGGAGGATAATATACACTATTGTTAGTAACAGTGGGTCCTATAACTCTCAGTATGTTTATACAGAGGGAGGATAATATACACTATTGTGAGTAACAGTGGTCCTATAACTCTCAGTATGTTTATACAGAGGGAGGATAATATACACTATTGTGAGTAACAGTGAGTCCTATAACTCTCAGTATGTTTATACAGAGGGAGGATAATATACACTATTGTGAGTAACAGTGGGTCCTATAACTCTCAGTATGTTTATACAGAGGGAGGATAATATACACTATTGTGAGTAACAGTGAGTCCTATAACTCTCAGTATGTTTATACAGAGGAGGATAATATACACTATTGTGAGTAACAGTGAGTCCTATAACTCTCAGTATGTTTATACAGAGGGAGGATAATATACACTATTGTGAGTAACAGTGGGTCCTATAACTCTCAGTATGCTAATACAGAGGGAGGATAATATACACTATTGTGAGTAACAGTGGGTCCTATAACTCTCAGTATACACACTATTGTGAGTAACAGTGGTTCCTATAACTCTCTCAGTATGTTTACACAGAGGGAGGATAATATACACTATTGTGAGTAACAGTGGTTCCTATAACTCTCAGTATGTTTATACAGAGGAGGATAATATACACTATTGTGAGTAACAGTGGTTCCTATAACTCTCAGTGTGTTTACACAGAGGAGGATAATATACACTATTGTGAGTAACAGTGGTTCCTATAACTCTCAGTATGTTTATACAGAGGGAGGATAATATACACTATTGTTAGTAACAGTGGGTCCTATAACTCTCAGTATGTTTATACAGAGGGAGGATAATATACACTATTGTTAGTAACAGTGGGTCCTATAACTCAGTATGTTTATACAGAGGGAGGATAATATACACTATTGTGAGTAACAGCGGTTCCTATAATCCCCAGTATGTTTATACAGAGGAGGATAATATACACTATTGTTAGTAACAGTGGGTCCTATAACTCAGTATGTTTATACAGAGGGAGGATAATATACACTATTGTTAGTAACAGTGGGTCCTATAACTCTCAGTATGTTTATACAGAGGGAGGATAATATACACTATTGTTAGTAACAGTGGGTCCTATAACTCAGTATGTTTATACAGAGGGAGGATAATATACACTATTGTTAGTAACAGTGGGTCCTATAACTCTCAGTATGTTTATACAGAGGGAGGATAATATACACTATTGTGAGTAACAGTGGGTCCTATAACTCTCAGTGTGTTTATACAGAGGGAGGATAATATACACTATTGTTAGTAACAGTGGTTCCTATAACTCTCAGTATGTTTATACAGAGGGAGGATAATATACACTATTGTGAGTAACAGTGGGTCCTATAACTCTCTCAGTATGTTTATACAGAGGGAGGATAATATACACTATTGTGAGTAACAGTGGGTCCTATAACTCTCAGTATGTTTATACAGAGGAGGATAATATACACTATTGTTAGTAACAGTGGTTCCTATAACTCTCAGTATGTTTATACAGAGGAGGATAATATACACTATTGTGAGTAACAGTGGGTCCTATAACTCTCAGTATGTTTATACAGAGGAGGATAATATACACTATTGTTAGTAACAGTGGTTCCTATAACTCTCAGTATGTTTATACAGAGGGAGGATAATATACACTATTGTTAGTAACAGTGGGTCCTATAACTCTCAGTATGTTTATACAGAGGAGGATAATATACACTATTGTTAGTAACAGTGGGTCCTATAACTCTCAGTGTGTTTATACAGAGGGAGGATAATATACACTATTGTTAGTAACAGTGGGTCCTATAACTCTCAGTATGTTTATACAGAGGGAGGATAATATACACTATTGTGAGTAACAGTATAACCTCAGTATGTTTATACAGAGGGTGGATAATATACACTATTGTGAGTAACAGTGGGTCCTATAACTCTCAGTGTTTATACAGAGGGAGATAATATACACTATTGTGAGTAACAGTGGTTCTATAACTCTCAGTACATGTTTGGCCAGAGGAGGATAATATACACCACAGAGTAACAGTAACCTATAACTCGCTTACACAGAGGGAGGATAATAATATAATTATTAGAGTAACAGTGGGTCCTATAACTCTCAGTATGTTTATACAGAGGGAGGATAATATACACTATTGTGAGTAACAGTGGGTCCTATAACTCTCAGTATGTTTACACAGAGGGAGGATAATATACACTATTGTGAGTAACAGTGGTTCCTATAACTCTCAGTGTGTTTACACAGAGGGAGGATAATATACACTATTGTGAGTAACAGTGGGTCCTATAACTCTCAGTATGTTTATACAGAGGGAGGATAATATACACTATTGTGAGTAACAGTGGGTCCTATAACTCTCAGTATGTTTACACAGAGGGAGGATAATATACACTATTGTGAGTAACAGTGGGTCCTATAACTCTCAGTATGCTAATACAGAGGGAGGATAATATACACTATTGTGAGTAACAGTGGGTCCTATAACTCTCAGTATGTTTATACAGAGGGAGGATAATATACACTATTGTGAGTAACAGTGGTTCCTATAACTCTCAGTATGTTTACACAGAGGGTGGATAATATACACTATTGTGAGTAACAGTGGGTCCTATAACTCTCAGTATGTTTATACAGAGGGAGGATAATATACACTATTGTTAGTAACAGTGGGTCCTATAACTCTCAGTATGTTTATACAGAGGGAGGATACATTGTGAGTAACAGTGGTCCTATAACCTCAGTATGTTTATACAGAGGGAGGATAATATACACTATTGTTAGTAACAGTGGGTCCTATAACTCAGTATGTTTATACAGAGGGAGGATAATATACACTATTGTAGTAACAGTGGGTCCTATAACTCTCAGTATGTTTATACAGAGGGAGGATAATATACACTATTGTGAGTAACAGTGGGTCCTATAACTCTCAGTATGTTTATACAGAGGGAGGATAATATACACTATTGTGAGTAACAGTGAGTCCTATAACTCAGTATGTTTATACAGAGGAGGATAATATACACTATTGTGAGTAACAGTGAGTCCTATAACTCTCAGTATGTTTATACAGAGGGAGGATAATATACACTATTGTGAGTAACAGTGGGTCCTATAACTCTCAGTATGTAATACAGAGGGAGGATAATATACACTATTGTGAGTAACAGTGGTTCCTATAACTCTCAGTATGTTTATACAGAGGGAGGATAATATACACTATTGTGAGTAACAGTGGTTCCTATAACTCTCAGTATGTTTATACAGAGGAGGATAATATACACTATTGTGAGTAACAGTGGGTCCTATAACTCTCAGTATGTTTACACAGAGGGAGGATAATATACACTATTGTGAGTAACAGTGGTTCCTATAACTCTCTCAGTATGTTAATACAGAGGGAGGATAATATACACTATTGTGAGTAACAGTGGGTCCTATAACTCTCAGTATGTTTACACAGAGGGAGGATAATATACACTATTGTGAGTAACAGTGGTTCCTATAACTCTCTCAGTATGTTTATACAGAGGGAGGATAATATACACTATTGTGAGTAACAGTGGGTCCTATAACTCTCAGTATGCTAATACAGAGGGAGGATAATATACACTATTGTGAGTAACAGTGGTTCCTATAACTCTCAGTATGTTTACACAGAGGGTGGATGTAACGGACCGTTTTGCACACAAGGGGTAAAAACCGTTTAGGCGATCAGCCCCCTTTCCAGAGATCCAGGCACAGCTACTGCAGAACACCAAAACTCACGAACTGGATACAAAATAGCACTCCAATTCCCGAACTGGAACCTCCCAAATAGCTGCTAGCAGACGAACAGGAAAAGCAGACGAACAGCTTACACTCCTGGCAATCAGTCTCTAACAGCATACAGTGAATCCCTCCAAGAACGAGACAAGGCTCCGTGTTGAGGGTCAAGCAGTGGTCTGAGGTGCTGGCACACCCAGCCTGGTTTTTATTACAGTCTTGTAAATACAGGACCACCCACAGGGAGGTATAAAACAACCAATCATATCACAGTTACATCCCACATATTCCCTCCCCTTATCCTGAGAGGAAACTCAATTATACATACAGTTAAAACATACTTTCTACCCAACTTTCATAACTCTAAAACCATACATTACATTCACATAAAATTACATATGCACAATCAATCCATTCAGGGGAACAACATATTCAAAAATGGCACAAATCAGACAAGGGGTTCAAAAGTTAGTAAAAAGTCCTTTGTGACTAAATGAAGCATGGCTTTCTGGCCCAAACCAGTTTCAGAGTCTTCTATCCTGGAGATAAGTAATTCAATTATCTCCCAGGACAGACACAAGACTCCATTAAGCACATGGTTGCAAAAGACACAAAACACTTTAAAATACATAAAGTCACATTTATTACATAAAACACAGACATGTAACATATCCCCAGATAGCTCAGGTCCGAGCGCACATTATTAAGCGAATGGCGCTCAGACCACACGAATACAGTTTAATCGCCATGGAGCCAAAGTCTTTACAGTCAGTTTCATACAAATGGGCTCCATGGGATTCCTATCTGGGGTATAACACATTCAAACAAATCTACTGAACCCCAGGCAGAAAAGCACGAATACAGCTTTTCTGCAGGCAAAAATAAAGTCTTTAAAAGGGGGCCATAGTCCAAAGGCAGCAGGCGAGCAACCAGGCTTCTCCAATGCAATGTGGCGAGATTGGTCTCGTCACATCTCTCCCCTTTTCCAAAGAGACTAACAGGGTATCTGACCTCCTGCCGGTCAGTGCCCTTGTTAGTCCAGCAGCCCACCCACAACAAATAATCAACAGCACAGCCCACCCACAATAAATGGTTACTACACCTGGGTAAAGGAGAAGCTTGTCCATGTCCAGGTGCCTCACCACGGCTGTGCTGGGTACGGGTACGCTGACTTGGTGGGTTGCTGCGTGGGCAGAGACCAGCTGCACTCTGCCCTGTTGCCAGCGCTACTGGGAGGGTAGCCTGGTGGAAGCCTGGTTGTTGGAGGGGGAGACCGACTGTCTCCCCTTTAAATACACCGCTCTGCTGCTGCTGCTGGAGACTGACTGTCTCCCCTTTAGATGCACAGTCCTGCTGCTGGAGACTGACTGTCTCCCCTTTAGATGCACAGTCCTGCTGCTGGAGACCGACCGTCTCCCCTTTGGTTACCCATCTCTGCTGCTGGAGGGGGAGACCGACTGTCTCCCCTTTGGCTAAACAGCCCTGTCGCTGGGGGGCAGGACCAACCGTCCCTACCCCCTGTGCTGGCAGTGTAGAGACTACGGTCCCATCTGCACGGTTGTGGGGCTTACTGTCTCCCCTTTGTACATTAAGCTGCCGCTGGGGAGAGGGGGTAACAAGCTCCTCTCCCATACATACTTCCAGCTGCGGGGGAGGGAGACCGACTGTCTCTGCTCCCAATACAGAGTCCTGCTGCTGGGGAAAGGAGACTGGGCTCTCTATTCCCGGTAGGACACTCTGCCGCTGGGGAATGGAGACGGGGCTCCCAATTCCCAATGATCTGTGCTGCCGCTGGGGAATGGAGACTGGGCTCCCAATTCCCAAAGCATCATACTGCCGCTGGGGAATGGAGACTGGGCTCCCAATTCCCAAAAAATCACGCTGCCGCTGGGGAGGGAGGACACTGCTCTCCTCTCCCTGGACTTCACACTGCCTTCCCGGCATATCACTTGGCTGCTGGGGGGCAGGAACAACTACCTCTGCCCCCTGTAACTCAGCCTGCCGCTGGGGAGGGAGGACACTGCTCTCCTCTCCCTGCACTTCACACTGCCTTCCCGGCATATCACTCTGCTGCTGGGGGGCAGGAACAACTACCTCTGCCCCCTGTAACTCAGCATGCCGCTGGGGAGGGAGGACGCTGCTCTCCTCTCCCTGCACTTTACGCTGCCTTCCCGGCATATCACTCTGCTGCTGGGGGGCAGGAACAACTACCTCTGCCCCCTGTAACTCAGCCTGCCGCTGGGGAGGGAGGATACTGCTCTCCTCTCCCTGCACTTTACACTGCCGCTGGGGAATGGAAACTGGGCTCCCAATTCCCAATAAATCACGCGGCCGCTGGGGAATGGAGACTGGGCTCCCAATTCCCTGCAGGACCGGTGGAGAGACCTCGGTCCCATCTCTACCGGCCACCTGGGGTTCTTCCCAGTAAAACTGTACCATCTCGTCCCCTCTGAATGAGTCTGGCTCTGGGTCTGTCATGCTGCTCTCCCGCTGCGCCTTCTCACTGTATTGGAACAGCTGCTGGTAGCCCTGTTCTAGCTCCATCTCCCGGGTTACCAGGTGGACCAGGTCTTGCTCAATTTCGTGAGTGTCGTCCTAGTCATACCTGCTCTCCCTCCACTCCAAGAGATCACTGAACCGGGCTTGTGTAGGGCTCCCAAATTCGAGCTCTGAAAATGACTCCCATAACAAGCCAGGACCATCAAACTCCTCTCCCTCTGGCTTGTCATGCTCGGCTGTCCAGGGTAGGTACTGTGCCCCATACCACCAGAGCACCTGGTAGGCATCTTCCAGCCAAATCTCCTGCCATACCCGGTGCTCCAATTCCTTCACCCATTCATCCAGGGGCTGTTCTCCCAGGAAGGGCATCCGCAGGGCTACTCGCTTCTGCAACCGCTGGTCTTCCTTGGGGAGTCTCTTGCCCCGCTGGTACTGCACAATACCCAGTGCCTGGTACCAGATGCCTTTACGGACTGCATCTCGGTCATCCATGGCACCCTCGTCATACTCCACTGCTGGTTCCATGCTGGTGCTGTCAGGGTCGCTGTACTGGGACATGCGTTGCCCTCAAATTGTAAAATCCAAAGAAATGGTGTCTCCTGTAGCTGTCCTTCTGGCTGTAGGAACGATCCCACCGCTGCCACCAATTGTAACGGACCGCTTTGCACACAAGGGGTAAAAACCGTTTAGGCGATCGGCCCCCTTTCCAGAGATACAGGCACAGCTACTGCAGAACATCAAACTCCCAAACTGGATACAAAATAGCACTCCAACTCCCGAACTGGAACCTCCCAAACAGCTGCTAGCAGACGAACAGGAAAAGCTCCCAAGCAGCTTACACTCCTGGCAATCAGTCTCTAACAGCATACAGTGAATCCCCCCAAGAACGAGACAAGGCTCTGTGTTGAGGATCAAGCAGTGGTCTGAGGGGCTGGCACACCCAGCCTGGTTTTTATTACAGTCTTGCAAATACAGTACCGCCCACAGGGAGGTATAAAACAACCAATCACATCACAGTTACATCCCACATATTCCCTCCCCTTATCCTGAGAGGAAACTCAATTACACATACAGTTAAAACATACTTTCTACCCAACTTTCATAACTCTAAAACCACACATCACATTCACATAAAATT